TATAATCAAGCTTGAGACAGACTAAATATTTGATAGAAGTGAGCCGTAAAGGAGTATCAGAAAATGGCATAAGCAGTTTCCATTTATTCATTTTACTTGACTATCTATATTACATGGAACAGTACTGGCAACACAATAAAACACAAACAAAACGAAAGAAAAAGGCTCGTCCAAATGTTATTTTAAATTCTAATATTAAACGGTTTGATTTTTTTCAACAGATATGTTGAAGTCCCATATCTTACATAAATAGTTTCTAAATCTAATTAAGAGATAAATCATACTAGCATACAATATTAGACCAATAGCTACAAGTACAAACATTCCCAATATCATCATGACTCTCATCATCGATGCTTTTTCGTTGGCTAGCCATATTTGATTATTTGTATCATTACCATGAGTCTTAATAATAACTAAATAGCAAACAGAAACTATATGACAAAATGTTCACAATCGACGTTCACGTGCTAGAATAGGTATTTATCGTCTCGTCTGAAAAGACAGGAAGACTTTGTGGCTAACCTATGTCGCTAAAGTCTTGGTACAAATTAAAACTCATGTTTCTCTATTGTTACTGAGTGTGCAAGTAATTGGACCAGAGAACTCTGCATCCGGCTAACCTTCTGTCTAAGACCGTATTTGATTACTAGTAACGATACGAGTGATAATACCAAAAGCTTGTCAACTGTAGGGAAGATATCCGACTATGGAAACCGACACTTGTCAGAACGGTTTACTGGGAACGGTAGTTGCAAGACGGGTTATTCTTTTCTTCTCTTTTAAAAATAAAACCATTTCTTTATATGACCAGTACACTGTGTTGAACTGTAGGTTTTTCTCTAGAAATGAGATATGATTGAATTGATATTCTTATTCAATGCAGCCAAAACAAGAAAAATGTTGATCAATTTTAATTTTATTTGTTTTTAAAACAGATTTTTATGTTAAAGATTATGTTAAATCTAAGATCAACATAAACTTCGCAAATGGTCTGTTTTATGAAGAATAGTCTTGACAGCAATGCTCCTCATCGCTAGTAATTAATACCAAACGAAAGAACTACGTTTGTACATGTATCAGAAAACCAATCCTAGAATTGCTGCATGCTTATTATAGAATCAAAAATTAACAGTGTTTTTCAAACCTGGTTCATTCATATCAGAATCTTTACGACGCTGAATCCAGAAACTATGCGTATTGGGTGGACAATTAGCCTAAAATCAAAGCAGATGACATTGTTTTTGTAAATATCAACCTCATGACACTGAACTGTACATTTTGTATGGAATCACATTTGGATTTTTCTGGATTAAATATTAATGGATATTGACAATATTCAATTTCATGTATACCATTTAAGCATGAATGATAAATATAACAATCCTTATTTGGATCAGGATATAATCCATCGGTAGTACAATTGAACTCTAAACGAAACAAAAAGTATTCAACATGTGAATATACCAAAAAAAGTGAATGTGATGTACATACTTAATCGATCGATAATTAAAAGTTCTAATGGTAAATTACGTTGACGTTTTTCGTGTAGAACGCCGTGACAATCGACCTGCAGAAAATGATTCTCTCGCATTAAAATGATTAGACTGATCATACACTCTGAAGCAAAACACCACGCATTGTAAAGCTGGAAAAGGATTTCATTATTTGAATCAAAACCATACTTAGTTTTTGTTTGTATTCTTCTTGGTGAAAAGCAGGGCTTTTTAACACAAGTAAAACACAAAAAGTCAATAAGGTAGTTCTCGAAATCAACTCAGTTCTCCATCACCAAGTAAAGCCATATCTTCAATCTAGTGAGAGTTAATCTGTTTGGTTTGAGAAATATCTCACAATTTGTATAACAAAGTCTTGTATGGTTTCGTAGAAAAATCTTCACAATATGCTTTTGTTTTTTTGATCTAATCGAAAGAAATTTTCTCGACTGTCCAATAGCTTTTTCGTCGAAACGTACTTTTTCCACGATGAAAGAAGAGGGCCAGATCGGTTTCCGATCCCTAAAAAAATGTCTTTTCGTGGTTTTCCTGGATGTTTTCTAGAAGTTTCCTTTAAGCGAACCCTCCTCCGCCCCCCCCCTCCTTTTTCACCTTGTTGCCCAATGTGAAGCACACGATCGATCGAGCTCAAATATATACCAGAAATAGAAGACCGAAAAGAAAATCGAAGTATTTTTGCTCAGAATTTTCTGACATGATCTTCGACGGGTTTTCTGGAAAACTCCAGTTTCCATCGGGTCC